TCAGATTCTGATTGAAAAAATATCCCCCCAGACTCCTTTCAGCTCAGTTATTTTTATGTGAAAAAAAAAAAATACCTGCCTGAAAGCCATGCCAACCTTGAGTGTGTTGGAAAAATGGGTGCCAAGCCAGACCCAAAGGCCGAACTATGCTTGGCAACCATCTCACTCTGCAAAACAGGCAGGACCGGACACCATACCCAGCTCCAGGATCTTGGGGCCAGTGGGGTGGGGAGGCACCCTGATCCCAAAAGGAAGCCTCCGGGAAGCAGTCAAGTCCCAATCCTCCTCCCTGTCCCCTTGGAAATTCAGTGCCTACAAATAGCCAGTCTTAATTTAGTGCCCTGTGTGCTCAAGGGAGGCCCATCAGTCCTGTCTGATGAATCCACCCCTCAGAGCCTGAGACAGAGAAAGCATCAGCGGTCACACAAGCCACCCACAGTCCATAGAGGGAAGACAAGGCTCCTACAGAGAAGAAACTTTTCCCCCCTCCTCAACTCCCTGGCTCAGAGGCCCTCCAGCTACAGGCGTGAAGGGGAGGGAGGGAGAGTGAATCCTCCCACTCCGGAGTTCACACCACTCAAGGCATTCCTAGAACCCTGGCACCAAGCTCCCTGGGTTTAGTGTCTGGTTCCAGGAGATACTTTCCCCTTCCCTCACACCAGATCAAGACTGGACTGAGAAGAGTAATTTGGGAGCTCCACTAACAACAAAAACAGTAAAACTCTGTTCTGGGCATCTTAACTTCCTTACCTGCGTGGCTTCCCGCAAGTTATGCTGCGGTGGGGGTGGAGGGAACGTTACCAGCCTGTACAAGTTCAAAGATGGCCATACCTTGGGGCCCACTTCCCACCTCATTCCTCTGGCATTTCACCAGAGTCTGTCTCCCCAGCTTACTCTTCTAGGACGAGGCTGATCTGTGATATAAAAGGGGAGGGGCTGGTCCACAGAGTGGCCAGGGCAGTCAGTGAAATGGACTGGGGGGATCAGTGGGACAGGAGGGAAACTTGTCTTTGTGGCAGCTCAGAAGCTCATCAGAGGCTGTGTCATCAGAGGCTTATCTCTAACTTGTGAATCTGACCTGTAAAATGAAAGGCGTCGGCTCGGTGGGGCTACCCCTGAAGTGGGGATGTCAGCCTGTGAAGGGGTGGTCCTCGAGGGGGTGGGAGCGGATCCTGGAATTGAGGGCCCAGCCTGTGAGATTAGGCAGCTGATCCCCAAGTTGGGTGTTCTATCTATGCGACCGGGGTGGGGGAAAGGTCTGTGAAGTGAGGGTCCCACAGCTGGGGAGGTGGTCAGGTCCGGGCAGTGGGGGCCCGTCCCTGAGGCGGACGGGGCGGGTCCTTGACGTGGGTCCCTGAAGAGGGTCCCTGAAGCTGCTCTGGGAGATGGGGGTGGCACCCCGAGGTCGAGGGCCCGGAGGTGGGGCTGTCCTCGAAGCGAGGGGGTGGCAGCTGTGAGGACGGTGCGGGGCTGGCCTTGGCCTGGGACTCAGGCCCAGCGCGGGATCCCGGCCCCGCAGAGCCCCGGCCGGCCGAAACCAGAGCCGGGACCCGGGCCGCCGCGGGTGGGATTCCGCCTGCCGCTCGCTCGCGCCCGCACCGGCCCGGGGCCGCGCACCCCTCGCTGCCTACTCGCTCGGCCTCCCGCTCACTCACCGAGGTCGTCCATGGCGGGGCCGCGGGCGCCGGAGGCCGGCTCGGCGTCGCGCTCGCTGCCCGTCCCGGGGCCGCTCGTCACCGCCGCGCAACTTTTCCGCCGCGAGCTTCGGCCCGGAACGGAACGCGCCGCCGCCGCGCGCGCCCGCGCCCGCCGCGCGTCCCGCCCCCAGCCGCCCCCGCGAGCACGCGCGCTCCGCCCGCGGTCGCCCCCGCGAGGCTGCTGGACCCGCCCCGTGAGCACGCTGGACCCGCCCCCGCCGCCGGCCCACGAGAGCGCGCGCAGCCTGGACGGTGGGCGCTTTTGGGCGAGGCGGCAGCGTCGCCTTGTGGCCGAGCAGGCAGGTGGGACGCTGCCAGGCCTTCAGGCCCTCTGTCAGTCTTTCTCTGTCTGAGAGTCACATGCCTGACTGGCTAACAGATCCATCTTCCTGTCTTGACATCTCACAATCCATCAGTCACTCATTCATCACATGTCTGTCCACTGGAGAGTCAGATTTATCCGTCTTTCTATCTCCTAGTAAGTCGCCTCCCAAGGGGACTCTAAATCAGTACCAGGCGAGGCCAGGAACATTTGGAGGACCTTTCCTCGGGGCGCCCTCTGGATCGATGGCAGTGAAGCTCGCAGCCCAGGCTTTGGGGCCAGATTCAATATTTTCGAGGTTATATATCCTTTAATCTTCCACATATCCATCCTCTATAGACGGAGATTTTTCCAAAACTCTGCATGGAGCAAAAAGGACCCCACCTTAGACAGTAAAGGAAAAGTTACAGGGAAGTTACACCCAGCGCTGGGCATAATTTCCTGAAACACCCCACTGCCATCCCAGACTCCAGAGGGGTTTTGCTCCCACAGAGTCAGAAATCGGGTAATAGGGGCTTCCCTGGTGGCACAGTGGTTAAGAATCCACCTGCCAATGCAGGGGACACGGGTTCAAGCCCTGTCCGGGAAGTCCCACATGCCGCAGAGCAACTAAGCCCATGTACCGCAACTACTGAGCATGCGCTCTAGAACCCATGAGCCACAACTACTGAAGCCTGTGCACCTAGAGCCTGTGCTCCACAACGAAGAGTAGCCCCCACTGGCCGCAACTAGAGAAAGCCCACGCGCAGCAACAAAGACCCAACACAGCCAAAAAAGAAAAAAGAAAAGTTCCCCTTCCCACAGAAATCCAGCCCTCAAGACCCTCTGTGTCGGGTTAGGTCCTCCAGGAAGCAGATGTTGAGATAGAGTTGGAGGAATGCCTGTGAGAGAGAAAGAGGAAGAGGCAGGACTGACAAGGAGAAACTTGGATATGACAAAGATAAGCCAACTCAATTGAGAGCCCTGGAACAAAATTTCATTAGAGGAGTCCCCAGTGGGCAGAAATGTCCAGGCCCCAATTCCCCCACCATGTTCAGCCATCAGCTGGGGATGCCCATGAAGTGTGTGGCCTTGTCCTGAAGGCCCTGCATCTGGAAGCTGTCATTTCTCAAGCTGGATGACAAGCTCTTTTTTGAAGGCAGAACCAAGTGGCTCTCCTCTGTGGATGCCACATTCTCCTCCATTAAAATTCAAGAGCTAAGACTGCTTCCCAGCTAGGCAGTCTATTACATGCCCTTCCAACACCTTCCATGTACTTCTGTGTTGTAGGCACTTCTCTCTGCTGTAATTTACATTTAGTGGTACGATTGTTTGATAAATGTCTCTCTCCCTTTCAGACTAAAAGTGCACAAGGGCAGAAACCATGTCCATTTTTGCTCATATCTGTACTTAGTCTGTGTGTTTCATGTAGTAAGCACTCAATATATATTTGCTGAATGGCTGGCAGATGTTGTGCTTGACACTTGGAACAAAGCAAACTGTAGTCCCTTTCCTCAGAAAGTTCACAGTTTAATGGAAGATTAAGATAGTGAGATCACCCATTCATTCACTCAATGATGAGATATTTATTGGCACTCCCTTCGAACAGGTCCTGTGTTGGGGCTGGTGATACAATGATGAATAAGACTGATATGGTGCCTGCCTTCTTGGGATTTAGTCCAAAAGGGCAGACAGAAGAGCAAACAGGCCTGTATGAAGGATGAATAACCTCACACCATTCCCAGCTGCCTGGAACAGTATATGCAAAGGCCTTTAGGCAAGACAGAGACCATGGTGTATTGGAAGAATTAGAAGGAAATTGCAGCATGGAATACAAGGTGAAGACTGATAATGGGGGTACAGAGCGGTTAGCAGGGGTGCCTATCCTGCATCAGACACTGGGCTAAACCTGGGAGAGGCATAAAGAAGAACCCACAGTTAGTCTAATTAACATTAAGCCCTGGAGTTTCTGGGGTGAACAATATGCTAAAACTGTAATAGGGGATATTACAACGGGGATGTAATGTCACATTTCCTCTAGAGGAGGTCAAATGCGTTCTCTTCAGAACAATAGTAACAATTATAATTGTACTATCAATATAATGAACAGGCTGTGGGCTGGGTGCTTTCCATGCTTTTTTGCATTTAATTCTGACCACAAGCCTAGGAGATGACCACTATTATCCCCTTTTTCAGTTGGAAAAGTTAAGAACAGAGAGATTGAGTTACCCAAGGTCACAGAGCTAGTAAGTGGGAAGTCTGGGATCTGAACCTGGGAATTCTTTGCTAAGGCCTGTGTGGGAAACCTGCTACTGTGCCAAGTGAAACCATTATCCTTAGACCAATCCCAGGACATACCCTTGTCCCTGTCTCAAAGGTCTCAAAACCTTTTTCAAAGCAATATTCCCTGGAGAGGAAGAACAAGACATCAATTGAGCCGTCAATTTTGCCCTTGGTGGGTGGAATTCTAAGGAGAACTCAGTCTTTGGAGTTCAGTGCTGGTGACCTTGGACACTCAGACCCCTGCTTGGGATTTCCTAATGTAAACAGCCCCAAAATACCTTTTCCTGGGACTTCCCTGGTGGTCCAGTGCTTAAGAATCCGTCTTCCAATGCAGGGGACACGGGTTCGATCCCTGGTTGGGGAACTAAGATCCCACATGCCACAGGGCAACTAAGCCTGTGTGCCACAACTACTGAGCCCGTGCTCTCTGGAGCTTGCAAGCCACAACTAGAGAGAAGCCCACAGGCCGCAACTGGAGAGAAGCCCACGTGCCGCAACGAAGAGCCCACGTGCTGCAACAAAAGATACCGTGTGCCGCAACTAAGACCTGATGCAGCCAAAAATAATCAATAAATAAAAATTTTTTAAAAAAGGATCTTAAAAAAAAAAAAAACAACTTTTCCTCCCCTCGGGGACTCCCATCCCCCAGCCATCAGACTTGGTTAACTCAAACCAGGTTTTCTCATACTTCCTAAGGATGAACTGGCATTGCCTTTCCGCGCTACCCAGACAGGGGTCCATACGGCGTTGCTCTGGATTCCCATCGTAACTTAAAGGGAAATTTTCACAATGTCCGGAGCCCTTGATGTCCAGCAAATGAAGGAGGAGGATATCCTCAAATTCCTTGCATCAGGAACCCACTTAGGTGGCACCAGCCTTGACTTCCAAATGGAACAGTACATCTACAAAGGAAAAGTGAGTGGCATCTACATCATGAATCTGAAGAGAACCTGGGAGAAGCTTCTGTTGGCAGCTCGTGCCATTGTTGCCATTGAAAACCCAGCTGATGTCAGTGTCATATCCTCCAGGAATACTGGCCAGCGAGCTGGGCTGAATTTTGCTGCTGTCACTGGAGCCACTCCTATATCTGGCCGCTTCACTCCTGGAACCTTCACTAACCAGATCCAGGCAGCCTTCTGGGAGCCAAGACTTCCGGTGGTTACTGATCCCAGGGCTGACCACCTGCCTCTCACAGAGGCCTCTTACATGAACCTGCCTGCCACTGGTCTGTGTAACAGATTCTCCTCTGCACTGTGTGGACATTGTCATCCCGTGCAATAAGGGAGCTCACTCAGTGGGTCTGATGTGGTGGATACTCACCCGGGGAAGTTCTGCACATGCGTGACACCATCTACTGTGAATACCCATGGGAGGTCATGCCTGATCTCTACTTCTACAGAGATCCTTAAGAGATTGAAAAGGAATAGCAGGCAGCAGCTGAGAAGGCTGTGACCAAGGAGGAATTTCAGGGTGAATGGACCGCCCCACCTCCTGAGTTCATTGCTACTCAATCTGAGGTGGCAGACTGGTCCGAAGGTGTGCAAGTGCCCTCTGTGCCTATTCAGCAGTCCCCCACTGAAGGCTGGTCTGCAGCTCCCACTGCTCAGGCCACTGAATGGGCAGAACAACCACTGAGTGGTCTACAGCTGTTCTTCTACAGACTCTTAAAGTGGAAATAGGTTGACGGAAAATAGTCTCAAAAAGAAAAAAAAAAGAACTGACATTGACAGGACATTGGTGGACAGCCCTGCCAAAACTGAATTCAGGATCCTCATGGTGAGAAAACAGCCTCCAAGAAAGTAGATCCTCCATGGGATCACTCCACAGCCGAATGTTCTGAGCCCTCTAGTCCATGGAATGTCAGTGTTTTCAGACATGTGCTGTTCCTTCCACCTGGATGGCTCTTGATGCCTCTTCCTGTCCCAGCCCCCAGGCCCCTCTACTTAGCAGTGTGGGGTAGAGGTTAAGTGCACAGCTCATTGGACTGACTCCACCCAGGTTCTAATGCCAGCTTTGTTCCTTGCTGGTGGTGAATCTCAGACCATTCATTCTTTGTGCCAGTTTCCTCCTCTGTAGAAAGAAGATAAATAATACCTACCTGTCAGAGTCATCATAGGATTAAACAAGATACTACACATTTACTACTTAGCATAATCCTTGTCACTAACAAGCACTTTCTAACTCAGCGCTATCCCCTAGAAACAAAATGCAAGCCACATATTAAAAATTTTTTAATTTTAAAATTAGTAATTAAATTTTTTTTAATTAGTAATTAAAAATTTTCTAGGAGCCACATTAAAAAAGATAAAAAGAAACAGTTAAAATTAATCTTAGTAGGGCTTCCCTGGTGGCGCAGTGGTTGAGAGTCCGCCTGCCGATGCGGGGGTCACGGGTTCGTGCCCCGGTCCGGGAGGATCCCACGTGCCGCGGAGCGTCTGGGCCAGTGGGCCATGGCCGCTGAGCCTGCGCGTCCGGAGCCTGTGTTCCGCGGTGGGGGGGGCCACAGCAGTGAGAGGCCCGTGTACCACAAAAAAAAAAAAAAAAAAAAAAAAATTAATCTTAGTATATTTTACCTAATCCAGTCTATCCTAAATGTTATCATTTCAACTTGTAATCAATATAAAAAATATCAATGAGATAGCTCACTTTTTTTAATAGGAAGTCTTTGAAATCATATGTGCATTTTACACTGACAGCACATTTCATTTCCACTAGCCACAGTCCAAGGGCTCAGTAGCCACATGTGGCTAGTGGCTACCACACTGGACAACTACCACACAAATGATAGCTGACATCATTATTTGGGAGGGATTTCAACCTAAAAGCCATTTCCCCAGAAAACCATTCCCTGGCCTGGTAGACTATGTCAGGGCTCCTGTTATTAAGACCTTTTTTTTAGCATCCTGAAAGCACTCCTCATAATTATACAGTTGACTCTTGAAAAACACTGGTTTGAGTGGAGTGGTTCCACCTACAAGCAGATTTTTTTTTCCATAAATTCAGATAGTACTACACAACTTATGGTTAATTGAATCTCTGAATGCAGAACTGAAGATACAGAAGGCCGACTATGGCACTTAAGCATCCAGGGATTTTGGTATATTCGGGGCTCCTGGAACCAATCGCAGATAACGAGGGACGGCTGTAATTAAATACTTCTTATGCACTCATTTGCATCTGTCCATCTCCTACCAGATTCTAGGCTTCAGGAAGGCAGAGACTAAGTCTGTCTCATTCACTGCTCTACCCCAGTACCTGACACAGGACATAGCACATAGTAGTTGCTGAATAAAAATATGTTGTGTGAATAACATTTGTTAAGTACCCATTTAATGAATTAAGTTTACCATACCACTGCACTAATTGATGTTGGGAAGAAAGAGGGGATTAAGGGGAAAAAAAGATTTGGAAGAATAAATTCCAGAGCTTACAATACAGATGTGGAAGTTTTCTTTACAAAAACAGTAGTTATTCATTGCAGAAAGAATTTTAGAAAAACAACAACAGATAAACTGAGATATAAAAATTAAAAGTATCCATAATCCCCCCCAAATTAATGACCAGTTGTAGATTCTTCTAGACCAGCCTTTTACACACACTGACACACATATTGGGAACATTTATTGTTTAGCATGTGGGAAGCAACATGTTAAGTCTTTTACATTATCATCTCATTTAATCCTCACAAAGATCCAATGGGGGTTTTATGCCTATTTTCCAGGCCAGGAAACTGAGGCTCATAAATGAAGTCACGTGCCCAAGGCCACACAAGTAAGAAGTGGCAAAGTTGGGATTCAAACCCAGGACTGTCTGACTTTACAGTCTAGGACATGGCTCCTGAAGGGGAGCTTGGGGACTGTGTCACACACCCCTTGGCAAGTTCAATTTCCCCAGAGGGCTTGGACACAATGCCTTAGGAGGCCCTGCTGTTTCTGAATTTGGGGGAAGGGCACCCCCCCACACACTCACTGTCCTGCTTAAAATCTTCCTGACACCAGAATAAAGCCCAGTGATTTTCCACCAACTCTCTTTTCTCCTTTCTCAGCTCCAGTCACAGGGAAAGACTTCAATTTTTTGGCCACACCATGCAGCTTGCCAGATCTTAGGTCCCTGACCAGGGATTGAACCCAGGCCCTCAGCAGTGAAAGCGTGGAGTCCTAACCACTGGACTGCCAGGGAATTTCTGGGAATGACTTTCAATTCCTCCAAGAGGCCACATCCTCCTGGCTCCAGAACCCTGCAGGTACTGATACCCCGGCTAAAAGGCATCCTGTCCTCTTTCTCTTGGTTAACTTCTCTCCTCCTTCAGTTCACAGCTCAACACCCCCTCCTCCAGGAGGCCTTCCCTGACCACCACCCAGGCTTGGATAATTGGTCCCACAACCTCCACCAAAGCATATAACTCTGTGTCAGGCACCATGGGGAGCCTTTTTCCTATATTATCTCATTTAATACCCACAAAATCTCTACAGCACTGGCACATTGGAATGACCTGGGAAGTTTTTATTTTATTTTATTTTTTTGGCTGCGTTGGGTCATCGTTGTTGCTCGGGCTTTCTCTATTTGTATTGAGCGGTTGCTACCCTTCATTGCCATGCACAGTCTTCTCATCGTGGTAACTTCTCTTGTTGCGGAGCACGGGCTCTAGGCACGCGGGCTTCAGCAGTTGTGGTGCATGGGCTTAATTGCTCTGCGGCATGTGGGATCTTCCCAGACCAGGGATTGAACCCGTGTTCCCTGCATTGGCAGGTGGATTTTTTTTTTTTAACATCTTTATTGGAGTATAATTGCTTTACAATGGTGTGTTAGTTTCTGCTGTATAACAAAGTGAATCAGCTATACATATACATATATCCCCATATCTCCTCCCTCTTGCGTCTTCATCCTCCCTATCCCACCCCTCTAGGTGATCACAAAGCACCGAGCTGATCTCCCTGTGCTATGCGCTGCTTCCCACTAGCTATCTATTTTACATTTGGTAGTGTATATATGTCCAGGCCACTCTCTCACTTTGTCCCAGCTTACCCTTCCCCCTCCCCGTGTCCTCATGTCCATTCTCTACGTCTGCATCTTTATTCCTGTCCTGCCCCTAGGTTCTTCAGAACCTTTTTTTTTTAGATTCCTTATATGTGTTAGCATATGGTATTTCTTTTTCTCTTTCTAACTTCACTCTGTATGACAGACTCTAGGTCCATCTACCTCACTACAAATAACTCAATTTTGTTTCTTTTTATGGCTGAGTAATATTCCATTGTATATATGTGCCACATCTTCTTTATCCATTCATCTGTTGTTGGAAACTTAGGTTGCTTCCATGTTCTGGTTATTGTAAATAGTGCTGCAATGAACATTGTGGTACATGTCTCTTTTTGAATTATGGTTTTCTCCGGGTATATGCCCAATAGTGGGATTGTTGGGTCATATGGTAGTTCTATTTTTAGTTTTTTAAGGAATCTCCATACTGTTCTCCATAGTAGCTGTATCAATTTACATTCTCACCAACAGTGCAAGAGGGTTCCCTTTTCTCCAGACCCTCTCCAGCATTTATTGTTTGTAGATTTTTTTTAAATAAATTTATTTATTTTTGGCTGTGTTGGGTCTTCGTTTCTGTGTGAGGGCTTTCTCTAGTTGTGGCAAGCAGGGGCCACTCTTCATCACGGTGCGCGGGCCTCTCACTGTCGCGGCCTCTCTTGTTGCGGAGAACAGGCTCCAGACGCGCAGGCTCAGTAGTTGTGGCTCACGGGCCTAGTTGCTCCGCGGCATGTGGGATCCTCCCAGACCAGGGCTCAAACCCATATCCCCTGCATTGGCAGGCAGATTCTCAACGACTGCGCCACCAGGGAAGCCCTGTTTGTAGATTTTTTGATGATGGCCATTCTGACTGGTGTGAGGTGATACCTCATTATAGTTTTGATTTGCATTTCTCTAATGATTAGTGATGTTGAGCATCCTTTCATGTGTTTGTTGGCAATCTGTATATCTTCTGTGGGGAAATGTCTATTTAGGTCTTCTGACCATTTTTGGATTGGGTTGTTTGTTTTTTCGATATTGAGCTGCATGAACTGCTTGTAAATTTTAGAGATTAATCCTTTGTCAGTTGCTTCATTATCAAATATTTTCTCCCATCCTGAGGGTTGCCTTTTCATCTTGTTTATGGTTTCCTTTGCTGTGCAAAAGCTTTTAAGTTTCATTAGGTCCCATTTGTTTATTTTTGTTTTTATTTCCATTTGTCTAGGAGGTGGGTCAAAAAGGATCTTGCTGTGATTTATGTCATAGAGTGTTCTGCCTATGTTTTCCTCTAAGAGTTTTATAGTGTCTGGCCTTACATTTAGGTCTTTAATCCATTTTGAGTTTATTTTTGTGTATGGTGTTAGGGAGTGCTCTAATTTCAGTCTTTTACATGTAGCTGTCCAGTTTTCCTAGCACCACTTATTAAACAGGCTTTCTTTTCTCCATTGTATGTTCTTGCCTCCTTTATCAAAAATAAGGTGACCATATGTGTGTGGGTTTATCTCTGGGCTTTCTATCCTGTTCCATTTATCTATATTTCTGTGTTTGTGCCAGTACCATACTGTCTTGATTACTGTAGCTTTGTAGTATAGTCTGAAGTCCAGGAGCCTGATTCCTCCAGCTCTGTTTTTCTTTCTCAAGATTGCTTTGGCTATTTTGTGTTTCCATACAAATTGTGAAATTTTTTGTTCTAGTTCTGTGAAAAATGTCATTGGTAGTTTGATAGGGATTGCATTGAATCTGTAGATTGCTTTGGGTAGTATAGTCATTTTCACAATGTTGATTTTCAATACAAAAACATGGTATATCTCTCCATTTGTTTGTATCATCTTTAATTTCTTTCATCAGTGTCTTATAGTTTTCTGGCAGGTGGATTCTTAACTACTGTGCCACCAGGGAAGTTCCTGGGAAGTTTTAAAATATATTTTTTGCCCAGAACTAATGCTCAGAAATTCTGATTGAATTGACCCAGAATGCACCTGGGCAAGAGGATTTTTAAAAGCTCCCCAGGTGATTTTAAGTGCTCAGCCAGGGTGGAGACCCACTGGCTTCTGAGATAGATGTGATGATCCTGACACTCCTTTTACAGCCAGAGAACTGAGGCACAGAGAAATTAAGTAAGTAGCCTAGGGTCACGCAGTTAGTGAATAGTGGAGCAAAGATTTGAACCCAGAAAGTCTGGTTTCAAAGCTTCATGGAAAAAAAAAAATCAATTGGTCTCAGTTCATTTCCCCAGTGATGGAGAGTATAAGCCAGCTCTCTTCTGAGACAGACACTGAAGGCCCCTTGGGTACAGGATATTTTTAACCTAGAGAAGCCAGTGATTCTTACAGACAGCCTGCAGGGACTTACACTGGGAAGATTGTTTGGGGGCTGGTGGACCCGTTCCCTGATGAGATACTCCTCAGAGTCCAGCTTTTCTGTCCTCTGGAGCCAGTAGGTCCAGGCTGGCTTGGGCGACAGGGTGGGAGGGGGTGGGGTGGGGGTTGGCTCCATCTGGAACTGATGTTTCCAAGGATATTTCCATACATGGTGGAAGGGGAGAGGGTCAGGATTACCTCACCCAAGCCAGCCCCTTCTCTCTGCTTTCTGCCTGGAAAGGAGCTAGAGAACAACTAATTGTTGGAACTGGATATGAATTCACCCTCCTCCTTCTTCCCCTCCCTAACCCAGAAGAGTCCTGTGAAAGCTTCAGCGTTTCAAATGTACACATCGAATATTCTCCAGACGCTCTCCTATGTGGCTTTGTGGGAGAATACACAGTACAGTCTTGGGGGACCCAACTTGGGGACATCTTTTAAAATACAAAATATGGGGAAATCCCTGGTGGTCCAGTGGTTAGGACCCCACTTTCACTGCCGAGGCTGCAGGTTCAATCCCTGGTTGGGGAACTAAGATTCCACAAGCTGCACAGTACAGCCAAAAAAAAAAAAAAAAATTAAAATGCAAAATGTGAACGGTTTTTGTGCAAGCAATCTCACCTACAGAAATTTCCCCTAGAAACAGCACACTAGTAGGCAAAATTCCCCCCAAAAAACCCTATGAGTAGGCAAAGATGCATATCCAAGGATGTTCATCATAGCATTGCTTATAATTGGGAAAAACTGGGAACAACCCAAATGTCCATCCATAGGGATTGGTTAGCTGAAGTGAGGTATATCCATATGGGAAGAGGGGAGCTATATGCTGACATGGAAAATAGGTCCACCATATATTAGTTTAGCAGAAAGAAAAAGGAAATAGTAGAACTGAATGTAAAATATAATCCAATGTTTGTTAATAATTAGGGTGACACGTAAATAGAACAATTTGGAGGAATAATCTCACATATCTGTGGCTATTTTCTCTAGCCATGGAGGTGGGATTACGGTGATCTTTGACTGTCACTGCCGCATATATACAATGTTTGGATTTTATACACCAACATGCAGTAATTTTACAACCAGAAAAAAATTAGGTTGTGAAACTGAAACCAATAATATGTAAAAATCACATGGATCCACTTGAAGATGGTTAATTTTACATTCTGTGAATTTTACTTCAATTAAAAAAAAAAAAAAAAAGTCATTGTAACTCAAACTACCCAAAGAAAGATTCCAGTAGAGCTGAGAGCAAAATATCACATGTATGCTTTATAAATTTTACCTTTAAAAAAGTTGTTTTGCTTTCCTTAAGCTTTTTGTTCATATTTTTGGTGGGTTTTTAAAAAAAAGTATTTATTATTTATTTATTTAATTAATTTATTTTTTAAGGCAAATCCATTTACTCATTACTTTTGGCTGCATTGGGTCTTTGATGCTTCACGCGGGCTTTCTCTAGTTGTGGTGAGTGGGGGTTACTCTTCGCTGTGGTGCACAGGCTTCTTATTGTGGTGGCTTCATCTTGTTGTGGAGCACAGGCTCTAGGCACGCGGGCTTCAGTAGTTGCAGCACACGGGCTCAGTAGTTGTGGCGCATGGCCTTAGTTGCTGCACGGCATGTGGGATCTTCCTGGAGCAGGGCTCAAACCCGTGTCCCCTGCCTTGGCAGGCAGATTCTTAACCACTGCGCTACCAGGGAAGTCCCTTGGTGGTTTTTCCATGCTTTTCTTTCTTGTATGCTTACAAATGAGTCATTATTTTACTTACTTGCTATTATAAATTCTAAGAAAATCACACACACACTCACACACACACACACACACACACACATTCACATGAGTGTTTGCCAGAGCATCATTTGATTTTCCAATCAATACAAAATTTGCCATGGGAGGGAGCATTCATGTTCTGTCTCCTCCAGGCCTGTTCTGACACCCAGATTATTCATCTTGGCAACCAGCTAAGATGAAAAGAAATGGTTGGAGTGCATTTTCAGACCACACTATCAAGGAAATTTTTAGCTCCTTGAAATTTCAGCCTCTGGGTAGCACACGTCGGCTCCTCTTGTAGTTCCCACAATCGTAGTGGGGTCTTCAGGATGCCCCTTTGGGTAGTTATCACTGACCCCCTCTTTCCATCATATTTGCTCAATTGTAATACATTGGCTCTGCAGGGGACTCTTCTTCCCTTTCCTGGGACCACAGGTCCTGAACACAGGGTATTCCTTGGTCCCAGCAAACCTACCCTGGGTTCCAGAGAAGAAGTGACATTAATTTATCTTACTTAGCCATATTTTGATGACTGATCAGGAAGTGGTTTAAGGGAGTAGTTGTGGAAAGCAAAGGGCTTTTATTACCAAATGTCAAGGATTGTTCATTCCACAGATTACTGATTACATAGGGGAAAGTGCACTTTTACAATAGACAGAGACCAGTTACTGCTTTACCCTGGCGCTTAAACTCAGCATCAATTATAGTGGCAGATGCAATACAAAGTTCATAACGCTATCTCTGAAGTTCTGTTGAATCGAATCAAGTCTTGGTTACAGGAAATAAAGGGAACACAGTCAGTGAAGTTGGAATGTGAGGCTTCTACACGATAACTGTCTCGGACTCTTCAAAAAATCAGTGTCATGAAGGAAAGAGAAAAGGCAGCGGGGGCGGGGCGGGGGCTTCCCTGGTGGCTCAGTGGTTAAGAATCCGCCTGCCGATGCAGAAGTCACGGGTTGAAGCCCTAGTCCGGGAAGATCCCACATGCCGTGCAGCAACAGACACCGTGTGCCACAACTACTGAGCCCACGTATGGCAACTACTGAAGCCCATGCGCCTAGGGCCTGTGCTCCGAAGCCACCGCAATGAGAAGCACGCGCACCGCAACGAAGAGTAAACCCCACTTGCCGCAACTAGAGAAAGCCCGCGCGTGGCAACAAAGACCGAACTCAGCCAAAAATAAATAAATTAATTAATTTTTAAAAAAAGTCAGGGGCACTTGCCTAGATTTTTTAAAACTGCAGGTGGAAACTAAAATGGAAATGGAAAGCCACTCTGGAAGATAATTTGACAGCTTCTTACAAAACTTGTACAGGAATGCTCTTAGCAGCTTTATTTATGATAGCAAAATACTAGGAACAATTCAAATGTCCTTCCATGGGTGAATGGTTGAACAAACCCTGGTACTTCCATATAATAGAATACTACTCAGCAAGGAAAAAGAATGAGCTAGTGATACATGCCACAACCTGGATGAACTGCAAGGACATATTGTTTGATGAAAAAAGTCTATCTCAAGAAAATCACATACCGTAGATTCCGTTTCTATAAAATTCTAGAAAATACAAACTAATCTATAGCGACAGAATGGGGGAGGAGTAGTGGGGAGAGTTGGGAGGGAGGGATGGATTGCAAAGGAACATCAGGAAACTTTGGGGAGTAATGGATGTGTTCGCCAGCTGGTTTGCAGTAATGGTTTCATGGGTGTATATATGTTCTCAAAACTCACCAAATCGTAGGCTTTAAATATGTGCAGTTTATTGAATATCAATTATGCCTCAGTAGAGCTGTTTGTAAAAAAAAAAAAAAAAAGGAATGGGGAGAAAGGTTTCTGTAAGAATTAAGTGAAACAAAGCATCTTAAGCACTTTGCATGGAGTCTGGCACAGGAAGTAAGCAGTTCATGCAGAGTCTGGCACACAATAAGTGCTCCATAGTGGGTGGTGTTGGAACTCGGCTGGTCTTCTGGATGGCTCCATCACATCTCTCTATAACATTGAAATACTCTGTAATTATGTTATCTGTTTTCAAAACGGTGAGTTCCTTGAAGCAGGGACTGTGTCTGATCTTGCGCTCGGGCGGTTTTCCACAGTGTGCTGTTTTGAATCAGTAGAGGCTGTTCCACCACCTTCACCCTAACAAGCAGCATTCTTTTGCTAGAGAACAGAAAAATATTTTATGGGTGGTGGCCTAAACAGGTCCAGCTGTATCTGCCACGCCCAGAGCTCGGACTCCTGAGGCCTTTTGTCCGTGAGCGAAGCTGTGCCCAGGACTCTATAGTACAACCTTAAAAAACCCACTGTGTTCTTTTTTTTTTTACTCGCTTTAAAAGGAAATGTTTGGATGACAGGTTTTCAAGCTCACGTCTGTTTCTACGAACCCGTGACTTTCGGATAACACGGAACAGACTCCCCACCCACTTTTAATGATAAAATCTAGTATTGTTTTAGTAAGAATAAATAGAAAAGCCTAAGAGAAATCTCAACAATCCAAACACTCATTCCTAGAAAGTAAGTACTAGAATATCTGTTATTAAACATGCGTCGCTCAGTCTCCGTAGAGACTGTCAAAAATTGCCAATGCCGACTATATTTCAAGTCGTCATGGCGGGGTATTGGGAAAAGTTTTCAATTAGCAATAATCGCGCCTCGGATAAACCTCATTGGCTACGATACTGCCACTGCGCAAAGCTAAAGAGCGTGAGCACGCACCTACCTCCCCCATGGATGACAACTGTCTTTACCGTGAGGGCGAGCGACTAACAACGAGCTGGGAGATATGAAGCATTTCCCTGCACACATTCCTGTTTAAAACACGTGTGCGCGAAGAGCTGCCGGGTATTAGAGCAACTCTTGTCGAACCCTAACCTTTCGAAAATAAGAACGCCTTTCGCTAAGGACGCTGGAGAATTTTATGCAAATTACCATGACATCACCAAGACGCTGCGGGTAAGACTCGCGTTCTAAAGAACAGCGACAAGAAAAAAACCGAAACAGAGAGTAATGCGAGACGGGACGAGTAAATGGAAGTGTTGGTGTTAAAGCCAGAAAAATAAATATTAAGAAATAAAAAACAATTATTAATACGACTTGGACAACAACTAACACGCAAGTATAAAGAACGAACTAAAACTGAGAAACCGGTATGAAACGAACTGTTAACAAAAGCTAATCGCTTATATTGAAATCGATAACAAATACGACAGTAACACGTGCTAGGATTTTCTAGCAAGGCAATTCCCTACCTGGTAACGGTGAAAATTTGAAATTGGGTATATAGCTACTGGTCATTTTGAACTCTCAGCGTTCCTTCCACGCTGTTTGTGACTTAGGACTTCCAACGTATTCTCCTGTAGGTTTACGGTGGTTACGAAACACATGCTTTTTTTAAACTTACATTATTCAGTCTCCGTAGAGACTGTCAAAAATTGCCAATGCCGACTATATTTCAAGTCGTCACGGCGGGGTATTGGGAAAAGTTTTCAATTAGCAATAATCGCGCCTCGGATAAACCTCATTGGCTACGATACTGCCACTGCGCAAAGCTAAAGAATGTAACCCCCTACTCATCGTTCCCAATAAGCAAGGTTCCTATTTCAGAAAGGTGAGTTGGAGCCTCAAGGCAAAACCCTTAATTATTAATGGGGTGAAAATTATACAACCATATTAAGATGTCTCGGAAATATATAAGCTGTTTCTCAGTATTCAGTTGCTTGATTTCACTTAGTTTTGAGTGGAGAATGAAGCAAAGCATTGTGGGAGGGAACATGCTAATAAACTTAATTCAGACTATAAATTGGGGAGGATGAGAAATGTGCTCAGTGTAAGGGTGCTGTGGTAAAATATACATAACATAAAATTTACCATTTGAACCATTTCTAAGTTCAGCAACCATCACCACTGTACATCTCCAGAACTTTTTCATCATTCCAAACAAACTTCCCATTAAATACTAACTCCCCATTCCTCTCTCCCACAGCTCCTGGCAACCTCTATTCCACTTTCTATAAATTTGGCAACTCTCAGTACCTCACATAAGAGAATCACACAATTATTTGACCTTTTGTGTCTGGCTTATTTCATACCTTGTTTTTAAGGTCCATCCATATTGTAGTATGTTTCAGAATTTCGTTCCTTTTTATGGCTGATATTCTACTGTATGGCATTTTGTTATCCATTTATTCTTTGATTGACAGGAGGTTGCTTCCACCTTTTGGCTATTGTGAATAATGCTTCTATGAACATTGACATACAAGTATCAGTTTGAGTCCTTCTTTTCAATTCTTTTGTGTTTATATCTAGAAGTAGAATTTCTGGATGATGTGCTATGTTTAACCTGGAAGGGTTTTCTGTGGACATCTTAATTCAGAGGAGAGAGGCTATTTCTACAGTTCATGAGTTTGAAGTAACTTTCACTGTTACTGGCTCGGCAAGTGGAAAGCTACTAGAAACCTATGTCTGAACTTGTTTCAGCTCTGAGCTGTACTCTCCAAAAGACTTTTGGTTTTTGCTACTCACTAAGATGCAACTAGTACTCTGAGAAAATATTTCCCCCAAAATTTCATTATGAAAACTTTCAAACATGAAACGTTCAAAGTATTGCTCACTGAACATTTATGTAATCAACTAGATGTAAAAATGACATAAAAAGGCCTATTTGATGCTGATGTGTAGTTAATTTTTTTTCCACAACCATAATTGGCAGGGTAGGAAAAAACAGCAGAAAAAAAGAAAGGCTAACAGTCTGATTAATTTAGAGTATTTGATTTTGATCCAGCCAAGGACTTTGTCATTAATTCCTAGTGTGGTGGAGTTGTGAGAAATAAAAAGACAAGGGTCATCCAAAGAACTTCTCAGCCCTTGAGAATGTCTCGATTGGGTGGCTCATTACACCCTGTCAGTAGCTATCAAGGGAAATTGTTTCACCAGCTGTCTTGGATGACTTCATCTTCCACAGATGACTTCCCAGCACTAAGAAAAATAGAAAACTCAGCTAACTTCTCCCCAGAACATGAAATTCTTTGGTGCCTAAAAGCACAATAATCCTGTGTTCCTGGCCAGTCTTTTAATGATGCTTATTCTACTTGAAGAACTGGAAAAATAATGTGGCTCTGAAGTTTTCCACAATAAAATTTGCCTGGGATTGGGGGTAGTGTCATGTTTTGACATTTCCATAGGTTTTAATGAAATACCCATGTGTGCAGAAAATATTCTGGATTACAATTTTGTTTTCTTTTTTTAAATTTTATTTATTTATTTTTGGCTGCACTGGGTCTTCGTTGCTGTGCACGGGTTTTCTCTAGTTGCGGCAAGCGGGGGCTACTCTTGTTGCAGTGCACGAGCTTCTCATTGCGGTGGCTTCTCTTGTTGCGGAGCACAGGCTCTAGGCACGCAGGCTCAGTAGCTGTGGCTCGTGGGATCTAGAGCGCAGGCTCAGTAGTTATGGCGCAGGGCCTTAGTTGCTCTGCGACGTGTGGGATCTTCCCGGACCAGGGCTCGAACCCGTGTTCCCTGCACTGACAGGCGATTCTTAACCACTGCACCACCAGGGAAGCCCTATAATTTTTTGACTTCATAAAAGTTCCCAGTATACATTTTTTTTCCAGTATACATTTTTAAAAATTAATGTATTTGTTTTTACTTTTGGCTGTGTTGGGTCTTCTTGCTGTGTGGGGGCTTTCTCTAGTTGCAGCGAGCCAGGGCCACTCTTTGTTGCCATGGGCGGGCTTCTCATCGTCGTGGCTTCTCTTGTTGCAGAGGATGGGCTCTAGGCGCGCGGGCTTCAGTAGTTGTGGCACACAGGTTCAATAGTGCAGGCTCAGTAATTGTGGCGCACGGGCTTAGTTGCTCCACAGTGTGGGATCTTCCCGGACCAGGGATTGAACCCGTGTCCCCTGCATTAGCAGGCAGATTCTTAACCACTGCGCCACCACGGAAGCCCCCCAGTCTCTATTTTAATCCTTTTTTAAATTTTTTCCCAGCCAATGTGGTCAGGTTAACTAAGGTACAAAAGACTCACGTCGGGCTTCCCTGGTGGCGCAGTGGTTGAGAGTCCGCCTACCGATGCAGGGGACACAGGTTCGCGCCCCGGTCCGGGAAGATCCCACATGCCATCTTCCCACCTGCCACGGAGAGGCTGGGCCCGTGAGCCATGGCCGCTGAGCCTGCGCGTCCGGAGCCTGTGCTCCGCAACGGGAGAGGCCACAACAGTGAGAGGCCCGCGTACTGCAAAAAAAGAAAAAAGACTCATGTCAGGTGGCTCTCTCAGCCTAGTGACCTATTTGAGGTGTGGCTGGAGATATTGCTCCCAAACTACTGAAATGGGTTACTTTACCAATATTTACTGCTATGCATTCAATGAGAGTCAGACTCTGACTCCAGCTTTCATACTACTCCTTTGGGCTTCAGTTTTGTTTGTTTGCTTGTTTGTTTTTGGCGGCACCGAGTGGCTTTCGAGATCTTAGTTCCCCGACCAGGGATTGAACCTGTACCCTCGGCGGTGAAAGCTCGGAGCCTAAAGCTGAAAGCCCTGGACCTCCAGGGAATTCCCCTCACTTCATTTTAAAATGGGGGAAGTGGTTCCTTAGAGTGGTCTTCAAGGTCAGTGCTAGCATATCCTTTGATATGTTCTAAAACACTTAGAAATCGATGTCTTATTTAGGCAATGCTACAGATCAGTGGTTCTCACTGGCTACATATTAGAAACAACTGTGAGGTTTGTAAACCGACTTGGTGCCCAAGTGTCTCCCCAGACCAATTAAATCAGAATTTCTGGGGGTAAGACCCAGGCATTGTGTTGGTTAATTTAGTAAGAACACAAGATGAGAAATAAGGGACTTCCCTGGTGGCGCAGTAGTTAAGAATCAGAATCTGCCTGCCAGAGCAGGTGACATGGTTTCGAGCCCTGGTCTGGGAAGATCCCACATGCTGCGGAGCAACTAAGTCCATGTACCACAACTACTGAAGCCGGGGCGCCTAGACCCCGTGCTCCGCAACAGTAGAAGCTACCAAAATGAGAAGCCCTCACACCACAACGAAGAGTAGCCCCCACTGGCTGCAACTAGAGAAAGCCTGCACACAGCAAGGAAGACCCAACCCTGAAGACCCAACCACGAAGACCCAACGGAGCCAAAACAAACAAAAAAAAGATGAGAAAGTTGGAGAAGCCACGTGGGTAAACACATTAGTCCCTGTATATTATATTTCACTTTAATTGTTCATTTTAACTGTAAAAACATCAGTTTTTCAGCTATTTGTGAATGTATTTCTTCACAGCTCACTGCAAGGTGGGAACTTGATTCCGTTTCCATGAGTGGAAAGGTTCTGAAACACTGAAGTTGAGGATGAGTCAAACCTAGATCCATTACTAAAGCTTCTAAAGAATGAATTCCTAAGTTAACGCTGTTTGGATGTACTATTTTGCACTCAGAACAATGACGTCCAAGCTCTAACCGCTTCTCTCAAAGAGATGATGGGTAGGTAGACAGCTGCTCATCGCGTACCAGGCTTCGAAGCCTCTGACCACAAAAGGCCAACAGGGGACGCTACTGGAAAACCTGGGTCCCTCGATTGTGAAGCCCAGAGGTTTGTGGGACTTGTAGTTTTTCTTGCATCATTTCAGGTTAATGAACTACATTTCCCAAAGTGCAAATACAGCCAGTCGGTCCCCCTGTCGGGCGCGGAGTGTCCCTTAAGCTGTGAAAGGTAAGTGAGTTCTGTGTGGGCTGCAGGTTTCTATAAATTGAGGATTCCACTTCTCCTCTTTGCCCTTTGATAGGACCTGGGAGAGAGCAGCTGTTCCAACAGAGCGTCTTTTCAGCGGGGTTTCCCGAGCCCTCCGGTCTCAGGAATCGGGATTATCTGTTTAGCTGTTCACTGCTGTGGAATGTCAGGGAGAAGTCAGGGTCCTGATCCCAGATCTGGAAAGCCCAGCATAAAATAATGTTTACATATGGGGTGCGTGTCACTAGAGAATTTCTGCATTTTATCTAATATTACATAAAGGCCTTGTTTTTACAGCTAGAAAAAGCTGGGGTAGAATGCCTTGTCAGGTCTCACTACCCTTCACCTTGTCCAAGAAGCCCTATTTGCAATTGAGGGTAAACTAATAGAATATGGGGGAAATAGAATAAAAGGTATGCATGTGCTTAATTACATTAATAAAATCAAAATCTCGAGAAGTCTGAGCAACAGTTTCATCAGCTAAACTGGAACGCTAATGTGCTTCTTTAGTTTATGAAGAAATAAAATAATTCTGATTTATAAAATGGGAAGTAGGTTTATGGGACACACGGTCCCCCAAGGGATAGTATTAACTAAAAATATAAATGTATTCCTCTGATAGAGACATCTTTAGATATAGTCATATATTAACAATGAGCAATTAAGGGACTTAAAAAAGATATTGAGGTAAACCATTAACTTTTTGAAGTTTATAAGAAATTCAGTTCTGACCAGCCAGATGTTACTGGGAGAGACAGAATAGGCCTTATATTATGCTAGAATTCTGCTTTATCAATTTTTTAGTTTACCTCCCTCCTT